TATGAGTGCTTTGGGAGAAACTCACCTATCATCATTTACTGATGTGAGGTGAACATCAGTTCTACCAGCTTGTAGATACAAGGGGTGACTTTTTCCTTTCCCCTCAAACCATAAAATCTTCAACTAGACACTGCTGATATAAAGTGGCCAATTGCCTGGGATGTGAGGAGGGAAGACTGACTTTTTATGCTTTTAATATCTTGACAAATGTGATTACAAGGTCATGTTTGCCAATCGCACTTCTGCCTTAATGATACAGAAGACTTTGAAGCAGGGCAAAGAAAGTGGCATCGCTCCAGCCTCTATTGGTCAAAGCAACTGACTGAATGTCTTTTTTGGTCTGATAAATCAAATCAAACCAAACTCACAATATCAAAAGCAAGTGGTACCTCCGTCAGAAAATGCTGATCATCCAATCTGGAACAAAATATAACAAATTAAAAAATGGAAGATAGTGTTTTAGAAATACATACCGTAACTTTGAACAATAAGTGCCTCTTCCCTCTTTCCCCCATAAACTCCTGTAAATAACTTTCATGTTCTGAGGCTACACATCTCAGCCATGTAGTTGATGGAGATAGCTGCTTTTCTTTCTTCCCAGCAGGCTCTTGGTATTTGAAGGCCGCTGTTTCTTTGCAGATGAATTCTTCAGTCAGGTTTCACTTTTCCACAACCTTGACAGCGATGGTTGCCTTTGAAAGTGGAAGAGGCATCTCTATTCCTCACTGTTTCTGGTTTTGGGTCATCCATTGTATAATTTGTTTTTCTTGTTGCCATGTCTTGCATATTATAGAGCAGGAATCATTTTCTTAAAAGCAACCCAGTTTTTCCATCCCAAAACATATCATTAGAGATAAAATTATTTCACTTGATGAATAAAATGGCAAGGATGTTGTTGTGCTTATGGCAATTCACAATACTCCTGAGGATATCAGTTGATGTCAAGAACAACAACTCTTTTGCTTTGGCATGTATTAAGGACTTTTCATGTTTACTCAAACTACCAAAATGTCAGAAAGGATCACTGAGCAGGGCCACACTCTTAAGAGAGATGTAGTTGAGGCCAGAGCTTCTCCTACAAACTTTTGTACTACAGCTCTCAAAATCCCTGACCACTAGCCATACTGAGGCTTCTAAGATATTAACCAAAGTTCATGAATCACCGATTTAGGCAATATGGATATAGGATGGTATCCCATGTTGGGGTTATATCCAGCTTCGCCATTATTTTGGAGCTGTCTACTAGCCAAAGGCAGAGTGGTAAACTTACGTCACAAATTTGTCTGCTTACTGGAAAAATATGGAGTGAGGCTGTATGTCTGGAGCTGTCATGAAATGATCACAGTACCCTCCAGAATTTGGACTACAGCTCTCATCATTCCCAACTAGCATGGCCAGTGATCAATTGCCCTTCAGGAGAAGTTATGGGTGAGAAGCTTTGAGCTGGATAAGGAAAAAAGAAAGTCCCTCTCACAATATGTCACCTAAACCTAGGTAGGGTGAGAATTTCATTTCAATTCATTTTTAATGTTTGTTGTTGTTTTAACCAAAATTTCAATTATTTGGGATGGAAATAATCTGAGATTTAAAAAAAACATGAATGTGAAACTCAAATGAGCATTGCCCATCTATTTGGGGCCCTGTGTTTTCAACCCTGTGAATGCTGAATTAGGGTTTCTACCTAATTTTTCCAGGTGCATTCATCTTTTAATTCTTACATAGGAGGTAGGAAAATATGGGGTACTTTCTTTGATTGACAGGTTTTGACAGGCTTTGTTGTATATTCCTGCATGGCAGAGAGTTGGACTGGATGGCCCTTGTGGTCTTTTCCAACTCTATAGTTCTATGATGCTATGACTCTCTCCCAGCTGGAAATGGCTGTACCAATTGAAATTGCTTGGTTTAGATAGAGGAGAGTTCTGTTTCACTTTGGTTTTGTAAGAGGTATCTGAAGATTGAACATTAGAAGGAATTTCTTGACAGTAAGAGCAGTTTGGCAATGAAACCAACTGCCTAGAGGGGTGGCTAAGGGGAGATGCAGACACGCGGCCCTGGGCCCCGATCCTTCCTTTTGCCGGCCTGGAAAAGAGCAGCAAAATGCCACTTCTTTCAGAGCCAGCAAAAGGGCGCCCTAAGAGCAAGTGCATGGCTCTTTAGTGTGCCTTCCGGTGCAGCGCATCAAAATGCTGTGCCGGAAGGACGTCCTGATGCCGTGCACCATGCATAATGACACGTGGCATCAGGACGCCGCCGCTGTGGGGTTGGGGCACCTGGCATGAGGTTGCCCCTCCCCATCTCTGCCTCCAGGCCAGCCCTTTGGACCGGTCAGTAGAGGCCCTATGTCTCCTTCCAAAGATCTCAGCGGTGTTGTGATTGCATCCAAATATTTCTCCAAGTTCGAGGCCCAAGCACCATGGGATGAAGTGAGCTCCCATCACTAGTCCCAGCTTCTGCCAACCTAGCATTTTGAAAACATGTAAAACTGCAAGTAGATAAATAGGTACCACTTCAGTGGGAAGGTAACAGCGTTCTGTGCTGTCAAGTTGCCCATATGACCATGGAAGTAATCTTTGATAACACTGGCTCCCTTGACTTAGTAACGGAAATGGCACTGTCCCCTACAGTCAGACACGACTTGATAATCTTGTCAAAGACGTAAGCTTTATCTTTGCCTTGCCTACTTTCTATGAAGTAGGGAATAGTCACGTGGGAAGACTTTCTGCCTGTTATGTGCTTTGTGCAGCATGGTGGTCCCAGTAAAGAAACAGTGGCAACTGTGTATGGAGCAAGGATGTGGAAGGGGCTGCATCCAGTGTCAGCCAGAGGCCT